TCTTAGAAACATAATGCTCTGTCTTAAGTAGCTCTTTCACTCTATTCCTGATAAATTTGTAGGCCACAAGTCCTCAATCTTCATTATTATCTTTGCAATCCACCCCTGAAGTCAGCTGGACTTAAATTATTTTGAGCACAGGGATCAGACATGCTGATGATTTCAGGAAGTGTGATATACGCTCCCGTAGCTGATCTGGATGGCTGATGCATGCCAGGATATCTGGGAGGTTTTTCATAACAAAGGTGGTTGCAAACCACACTGGGGTTATGCCCTAATGGGACACCTAAGACCCTACAAGCTCAATCAGAAAGTTTTGGTTTACTGTGCTTCCTTACATTTCACCATAGATGGATGATCATCAAGAATGACTCTGCCATCAAAAAGTGCCACCCTCATGCTCCTGTTTTTCATGTCAAGATCACCCATGAAAATATTAAGCCAGTCAGTGGCAAAAGGTAGCCCTGAGGATTTTCACAACCAAGATTGTTCCTTTTGCTTCCTCAGAGTCGATGACAGGAAGCAGTCCTGAACTGACAACAGAATCTGGCTGAAGCAAAGTTCATTAATCCTGTAACATTTTTCCTAAAACAAGGGGAACTGGCACACAGAGGAAAGGATGCTGCCAGCTCAGTTTTTCTTTCTCCTTCAAAAGTGTATTCACATAAAAGGGGGTCCAGGGTGGAGGGTGCTATCCATGCAACAAAATATATGCCATGCTCTGAGGTAGTAATCAAGTGCAACAAGGGACTAAACTAGTCCTACAGAGAGAAAATGGTGCAAGAGCTCAGAGAAATCCTTTAAGAATGACAAATTAGTCTAGAAATATTTCTGGAAAGAGACCAAAGATTATCGACTTTAAATTCTATACAAGGCAAGACTGGAAGTGTTGCTGGAAGGCAGAGAAGACTCCAGCCAACATCTCTCCTCAAAATGCAAACAGAGCAGTTGACAGGAACATGTGGAGTGAAGCATTTGCAATGAGCCAGACTCAGGAGTGATAGAGAATACAGGCCAAGCATGATCTTCTGCTCAGTTAAAACTGCTTTCAAGTAACTTGGAGATCATAAGGATTACACCAAACTAATTAGCTTAGAATCTTACATAAAGTGTAGAAACTTGCTACTAGAGAGTGGGGAAAAAAACTCTTACTGTTTTCAAAGTCTCACAGCTTTGAACATACTCAGACCACCTCTTCAACAGTTTTTCAGAATAATTACTAAAAAAAAATCTATGAAGGTCTCTTCTCACAGCCAACTTCTTACCTGTGACCAGAGTTTAACAGGAACAGGTGTGGTTACAAATGAAAAATATTAAATGAAGTTTATATAGTTTCAAAGATTATTAAAGGTTCTAATAAAGCATTTATGCAAGAAGGTAGAATTGACTAAAAGCCTTACAAATATTGTAATTCAGCAACATTATTTATCCACCCTGCTTACAAGTGCAGTATAGTCCACAATTTAACACATGGAAATATGTAATAAACCCAGCAGTTCCTTTTGCACTTACAACTGCAAAAATACAGCTTCAAGATGGAACTTACATTCAGGTTTTACAGAAGAGCATTTTATTTTCATAAAGTATTTTTCAGAAACACAAGAATGATAACTTTCAAGCGTGATGTGTGTATCTGAAAGTGACCAACTCACTTGGAATTATTATGGTGAATGTTGCAAGCCCGAGCCATTAGCACCACAATCATTGGTCGAAAGGCCTTTCCCTTCCCATCAAAGTAATAATCACACATTTCCTTAAGTTCTGCTGCAGAGACCAGCAATTCCTATAAGAAGGACAAGAGCATTTCAGCATAGAAGTCACAAAGTCAGTCTCTTTAGTGTAAGTAAAACAGTATGCATGTATAAGGTTATTGCTTGCATTCATTTCACCCAGTGCAAGCTCAAGTTATTTTTAAAATTACTGTGAGTAATCTGAAATGTAAATGATCCATTCCAGCACTGCAAATCAGAAGAAAAAATTGCATTCTGGTTCTATAAAATATGAGAAATGCTCCATTTGCCTTCAGTTTAAGTTTCAGACAGCAGTTCATAAACATAAATCACACTATGTCAATAAATATCCAAACTGATGGCTGCTATTAAACACAATCATCATGACATCCCAGCACAGTCACCAAAATCCCTTACCTTTTTAATATCTTCATAGAGATTCTTCAAGTCTTTTCTACCAAGCTGAAAAGGATCTTGGTATTTTTCATCACTAATTGTCTTACTGCAGCTGCACCACTGGGATGTACTTGTGTGATGAAACCTGGTGACAGTGTTTTTCAAGAGAGGAGTCTTGTTAGAAGTCAAGCTCCCCTGATTCCCCATACACAAACATCTGAAAGGATTTCTTTCTCTCCCTCTCCCCTCACACCCCATTTAACCAAATGGCTAAAATACATGAAGACATGAAAACACTCTTTTGCAGGCGGACAGTAAGGTACAAGGACAGAAAAGCTGTGCGTTGATGATCATATAACTCTGGGACCTGGCAAAGTGCATTTGGCAAACACAGACACACTCTGCCCATCACAGATCCCAGATTTTCTGAGACACCGAACACTACGCTGCTCTCAATCTATTCCTTTTGAATATATCATGGATAGTGTAGCCTATACTTGCAGACAGAGCTTTCACTTCTGGAAACCCAACAATAGTTGTTTCTGTTACTTTCTTCCCTCTCAAGTAAACTCCTGATAAAATATTCCTGACTTAGGTTTGGTATTTTTTCCTTTGTATATGCAGCTACATAATAAATTAAATCAATACTTTCAGGTAGTGTGATGATGCTAGGAAAATTCATCAAAAAAGGGTGAAAGCTCCACCTGGATGCATTAAGATGCATTTAACTTAGGAGATTTGTTTGTTTCTTTCCTGGATTTGAAGTTTCTTCTTCTTCTGTTTCCTTTTCCAAAGTGAACCATATGTATTTTCTTGCACGCAACATTCTTGCTTTGTTACTCTCCAGGACAGACGACTGAGATTCAAACTCAGCACTACAACAGCAGTCTACACTGGAGTAAATAACTTTATTTTCAAAGTTTACAGCTCAGAGATGCAACTACCCAGTTCACCCAATAACTATGTCCTTAGCCACTACACAACAATGTAAATCTCCAACTTACCGCCAAAATATGCTACATATTTTTGGAAACAAGAAAGTGGAACTTCTTTGGGTAATGTGACAAATCTGCACAAAATAAAACCAGGGATAGTTTATTAGAACTTTAAACTGACATAAAACATTTGACTACAAAAAAAATGTATCCATCACCATTGCTCTATTTCTCCATTTTAACAAAGCAGCGAAGGGAGTCTCCTAACCCCTTCCACACCACGTGAGACACGAGTGCACACTTCATCAGGCACACGGAAATGACTCTTCTGCTCCGGAGCCTTGGACTTTCTCCCCTCGCAGGCCCAGCCCAGGAGGCTTATCACTTAAATTACTAAAGCTGCTCCAATAAAACCTTGCTTTTGCACTTGAGCAAGGTGCAATTTTCAAACGTTCCCTGCCTGGCAGATAAACCTGGACTGCACCAAGGCACAGAGAAAAGGACGAGTTGTTTCAGTACACTAAGAGAAAATCACGTCCTTGTTTTCCCCTGAAGCAATTTCAATTCTGCCTGCTGTTTATAATTTACACCTTCCCATCTTCCCTGCTAGATATCCAGAACCTAACTTCCAAATCCAGCAATCTCTCCAAGGACCGCTCCCTGCAGACAGAGCCCAGGAGCGTGGGGGAAGAAAGGCACAGTCCCAGGTACAGGATTCCAGCAGATACAGGCTGAGGAAGGAAGTAGAGCTCTTGCTGCGCTCCTGGGAGCGCTGCCAGGAAGTACCGAGCCCTGCCCAATGCTGGGCTGAGCCAACCTAAAATCACTGCAATCCACGTGTTCACCAAACTGCCTCTGGAAAAACTCACACGGAGCCGCTCAAGGAGACCTGCTCCTCCTGCCTCGGCATCTCCTCATACGTGGATTAAAGTAAAGTCTCTCTCTCCTTGGACAGTGGGAGACAAACAAAAGCACTGCAATGGCTCAAGGGCACTCTTCCATCCTCCGTGCTTACACAAGGCCACGCAAGGAGACAAAGGAAGGCGAGGAGCCCAAACTTATCCAGATCTGCAACCCACTGCTGTCTGACTTCAGTGTCCGGCCCTACGGCTGAGACATTCCTAAGTCGCTCTCTCGGACCTCTCACCGCGTTCTGTTGCTAAAAATAGCTGATCTCTTCCTGCTCTTCCTTCAGCGTGGGCACACAAGCACACTCCCTCCTTCACACTGCCGCTTGACCCTGGAACAGCGGCGGTGCGGGATGCTGGACACGTTCGCCAGAGCACTTTCCCTGTCCCGGGTCAGGACAGCCCGGGCACCTCAGCGAGGCTCAGAAAGCAGCCTGGCCTTGTGAAGAAGCTCCAAACCAAGGCAGTGAGTGAACTGCCCCCATTACCGCTCACGACGCTAACACACACAAACGCCTTCAAAATCTCACACTAATGAGAACCACTTCCCCTGCTCCCACCTAGGGCCGGCTCCGAGAGGCTCACACACTGACCGCTGGGCTCACACACTGACCAGCGCTGAAAACCCCCAGTCCGGAATTTAACCTTGCACCGAGCGCGCTCCTGCCCCCAGCAAGAACCCCCCCGGCAGGGAGCCGCCCCCGGGCCGTGGCGCTTCCCGGCGGAGGCTGCGGAACGCCGAGGGAGCGGCGGCCGCGGTGCCCGCCCGGCCCGGCGCCCCCCGCCCCATTCATTCCGCGCCCGCCCGGCGGCACCAGGCGCCGCTCCGCCACCACCACCGCAAGGCCATGGTGTCCCCCAGCCCCGCCGCGCCGGCACCGCCTCCCGGCACCGCCGCGACCCGGACGCGGAAGCCCCGCGCCGCCACCGCCCTCCGGCCCGGTGCCGGGCGGGCACCCCGACGCCCTCTTTGAGGGCGGGAGACCTCAGGCCGGGTTCGTGGGTGACTCTGCAAGGCGAGGCTGGGGCACATGCGGTGGTGCCCCTGGCTGCCCGCCTGCCTGGCCTGGGGCTGTGTGGCCGCGCTGTGCGGCTCCCGCGGGCTCTGCCCGGCCCCGAACGCCTCCCGCCCCGAGCCGGGTCAGTGCCCGCCGCGCCGGGCCGCGGAGCTCTGCGCCTGGGCCCTGTCCTCCGACAGCCTCCTAGGTACGGCCTGCCCGGCCGGGGTCTGTGCTCCTGCCCTGCCCGGTCCGGGGTCTGTGCTCCTGCCCTGCCCTGTCCCGGGGCTCTGTGCTCCTGCCCTGCCCTGTCCCGGGGCTCTGTGCTCCTGCCCTGCCCGGTCCGGGGTCTGTGCTCCTGCCCTGCCCGGCGCTTTTGCTTGTTGGGTTGTAGCAGCTCCTGAAGCAGTAACTAAGTGAAGACCTGATGCACACAGTCAAATATAGTTTTAGAATTAAAACTAGATTAAGGAGCTGCTTCCCCCACCCCGAGTCCCAATTATTGTGTTAGTGCAGAGTTGATAACCTGACACATCTCTGGAAGTACACAAAGCATTCTAGCTCTCCTAGCTCTCGGGCATACAAAACTGCTTGTAATCATAGTGCTAATTGATATGATAACATTACAGAACTAATTTCATCAGGTGATACAATTACTTGTGAGCATTAAGAAATAATCGTCAGTGATAAATCTTGTGGCAGCTGGCTATAACAGGATCTGTCATTAGAGGTAGTGAGAAACATGGCTAGATGCAAGGCTCCAGAGATGCTAACTAACTTAAAATTTTTACAAAACAGTGTCTATGAGGTACTGGGATTTTATAATGAATGTGGAATTGTAACACTGTTGCAAGCAAAAGTCCATAAAGATGGTAAACCACACCATTTTAAAACAATATTTGTCCTCTGTTACCATGGAAAAGGGCACAGAGTAGGACTAAAGGAAAAATGAAGCACAAATTCTGAGTACACATGTGTGCTACAGCAAGAGCTACATCTTCCAAACCATTCATTCACTGTTTACATTACTCAGAAAAGATTCATCTGTTTTCATGGTATGTGTGGTGATCATTGCTGCATGGGGACTGTACACAGCAGTCATTGGTGCACAGTGACTTAAATTTGTTGCACTACATTGTTCAGCTGTGGGGAAAGCTGAACTTCTCTGTCTCCTGCAGATATCTTTTAGGGTGTATATAATTGAGTGCAACATCAGACTGCCCTGAGACTGTTCCAGTCACACTATTCAATCTATTCTCAGATATGGTTTAGATCTTAAAACTAGAATGCCCTGGTAGATTCTTTAACTGCAGAACTTTAACTCAGTCCTTTTCAGAAATTCCAAACATTAAAATCCTAAATTTGTTTGGGCTTGCTTTTCATGAAGGCTTAATATACATTGGTAAAGTTGGAATAATACAAGTTTTAATTGTTTTTTAAGCATTTTGGCTGAATTTAAGAGGAAATATATTGAGAATAATATGAGTAATTGTTTTTTATATGGCATTTGTTGTCTGTTTCATGTTTACAGATCCTTTTCCAGTTGATGTGATCCAAGAAAATTATGTCCGTAATGTGAGAAACTGCATTTTTTCAGTTGTCTATCCTACACCTTTTAAATCTAGAGTTCGTCTTGTAGCTGTTTCAAAGGTTGGCTATTGTTTTTTTATTCCTCTCTAATTAGTAGAAATTATTAATACATGTCCTAAAGTATATTTTAATATTCATATGCTATTTATCGTGGAACATCTTCTCAATAAATACTTTAAACAAACAGAGCATTTAAAACATATTGTGAGATATCTTTTAATGATGAAATCTGTAGAGAAAATATGTTCATTACCACTGACAATTTGATCATGTTCAACTATTATTTTTTTCTCCAGGCAGTTCTTGAAAATATTTTGGATCTTGATATATCTGTCAAAGGATCATCTGGTTTTCTGGAGTTCATCAGTGGTGGGAAAGTGATATCTGGGTCTGTTCCACTGGCCCATAGGTATGGGGGTCACCAGGTAAGTATGGCATTCGTCCTTCCAGGTGGAATTGTGTAGGTCTTTCCTTGTGAATTACACCTGGATAATACCTGTAAGTACATGAGTGTGTGCCTGTGAGTACATGAGTGCTTACTAACAGTTTGATTGCAGACTTGTTCTTTGCAATGGGCTGCAGGTGGAAAAGAACTATAATATCCTTCCACAGTAGCCTGTTTACTTGCTCTGCTTTTGTTTATGCCTGAAGCAAATAATCTTTTTAACTTTCATTAGCTGCTGATTCTGCTTAGCACCCCAGCAGCCTGGCCAACTATTAGTATTAGCTAATACTAATAGCTCAGAGGAGTGGAGAAGGACAGAGCCTCACTGCAACACCATGATTACTAAGGTTCAAGTTTCATTGAAATGGCTATGATTATTCATGGAGAAGAATGCTAGAATTTGATTTGTAATTTCCAATTAAAAAAACCTAAACAAGCCATGTGGGTTTAAAGGCTCATTATACAAAAAAGACAGGTCTGTAGCTGTACGTTGTAGCTGGAAGGTAAAAAAAAAAAAAGAGGATTACTGGTATTACTGTGGTTTTCTGATTCATTTGTGGAGTGAGTGTGGAAGCACAGCTTTAGGGCTGAACATTTTAATGTGAGCAAATGTGTCTTTTGTGAGGTCTTAGATTTAATCTGTATTGTTTCAAGTATAACTTCTATAAATGATAGAGGACAATAACTTGATTTTAATTTTTGTCAGTTTGGTAGCTGGGCAGGTCAGCTGGGGGATGGAAGAGCCCACTTGATCGGAGTATATACAAACAGGTGTGACTTTTTTTTAAGTGTCTGATTGAACTCTGTGTTCAGTTTAACTGATTCATGGTTAACCTGAGGTCTATTGTTAAAAATGCCAATGGTATTTTTGCAGGCATGGTGAGAGGTGGGAACTGCAATTAAAAGGGTCAGGAAAGACCCCATACTCCAGGTAAGTGGCAGTTACTCTATGTACTCTAAAACAGAATGTTTTCTTTTTGAAATTTACTTTGATTTTATGACCTGTTCCTTATTTCTGTGTTCTCCGTAGGAATGGTGATGGGAGAGCTGTGCTTCGCTCTTCTGTTCGAGAGTTTCTGTGCAGTGAGGCCATGCACTATCTTGGAATTCCTACAAGCAGAGCTGCTAGGTATTTTTCTTTCCTTTGTTCAGAGTATACTAATTTACAGGTAATTTTGTGACTGAGTTTCACTGAACATCAATAAAACAGGGCAGTTAGTTTCCAAGATGAAAGATCTCTTCAATATGTATGCAATCAGAACAAAATATATTCTCCACAGATTTTTGGATAAAACTTTCCAATAATAATAAACTCCATCAATTAATTGCATCACATAGTTTGCTGGATGCTAGAAATGCAACTTAACTTTAGAGTAGTAAAGACTAATTTCTGTAAAGTCAATTCAAATTCTAGAATCTAGCCAACTAGGAAAATGTTGAACTGTCATTTTTGTACTGTCATTTTTAAGATTGCTGGGAAAAACTGTCAGTCATCTGAACAAACATTAATATTGCAGGTAGAACTGAATGTAGACAGTTACTCTCAATTCTTTATCTATGCAAACACCCCTTGAGCAGAGAGAGAGAGTTTGTAAAAAAAAATCCTAAAACTAATTCTGTGGGAATCAAAGGAGACTAACACATTCATTCATTTGGATGATTTTCTCAGAATCAAGTAACTGAATATTTTCAGATGATCGTGTTTAAAATACCAAGTTTATTTTGTGTTCTAAGTAGTCTCAAGCTGTACTGCAGTGTTTCAGGCTTTAAAGAAAGCAAATGTTCTGCAGAAAAGGCCTGTACTCAGCTGCCACATGGCTAGGTGTCTGTATTTGCAAAGTGTCTGCAAATCTCTTTAGCATTAGTTCTAACTCATTTGCTCTGTTGAAGTGCAGTGTTTGTAAATGACATTTTTGATGGTTTATTCACTGACTTCATCTTGAGACTCTTTGCTCTTGGCTCTAAATGCAGAACTTTAAATCTGTCTGAATATCAGCAGGAAATAATTTGGCAGGTTAGAGCCTCTCTTTGCTGTCGTCTCAACAAATTGTTCAGTGCAAAACCAGTATGAAATTACCCCTTTACTGTGCACGAATTCTACTGAGCACACAGTGTGCTTTAGCTCTCTGCTGGCAGATTGGTTAAATGCCTGGCTCTCTTAACTGTTGTACAAGCCCTGCAGACTGTTTGCAAGACTTAATTTGGAAAAACCCCAGCTGACAGCCATATTCTTCCCGATGGGGAGCTGTTGCACTGAGGCTGGTGGGATGCACTTAACAGAGGTCTTGTCAAGTCTTGGCAGAAGTGGGAGGAAAAACCTTATGGCTTACCCCAGAACACCCAGCAGGTTGGTTTGCTCTATTAATTTTAAGTTCCCAGTGGGGTGCTACAGTTTATGACTGTAAGGCCAGATACAGAACACTTCATACAGTACCATTTTAGTCACATACTGACACTACCAGTGAGCAGTGTTACACGTTAAGTCAAAAGAGTGAGCCAATATGCATAGTTTTCCAAATGGCTTTACTTGCATGGGCCTTGATGTTCATGCAGAACAGCAGGCAGAGCACTGGGAGTGTAAAGTCAAACCCTTAAGTGAGAGCCAGGTAGGGAGGGATATCATCCATCCATCCATCCATCCATCCATCCATGCATCCTTCTGTGAATGCTGTTCCAGCTTCTTTGCTGTGAGAGCAATTCCAGTGCTCTGTTTCCTATGGGTGAGTGTACAGCTGGTCTGCTGCTGCCTTCTCTCCAGTAATGGTGCTTACCAACTGCAAGGACCATTGGAGAACTTTTCTAGTGGGAATGTATCTCTGTGTGGCTGCTCAGCTACTGGCCAGCTCTCAAGTGTTGCACATCCATACTAACTAAATGTTGATGCCCCCATGGATTTTTTATCTGCAGTAGAAATGCTGGTATTCTGTACGAATTTTTCACAGAGCCTGCTAGGAGTTACACAGTAAAAAGGAAACAACCTTTCTGGCAGAGGTCTGTTCAAAACAGTAAAGTTTAATAGCACAACTTTTGTGCCTTCTGTCCCCTAGTGCTCTGCTGCACACACTATTTTGTAGGTGTCTGAGGTTCCTTCTCTGTTTCTAATTTTTTTTTTTGTTTTCTCTTGAAGGATTAAGATTTTCTTCTTCCATCTCATTTACATCAGAGCTTTTTGTACTTAATCCTACAGACATACCAATTGGTTTCAAATGAGTATTAAAAAAAAAAAAACAACCCAAAACCTAACTCTACTTGTATCAGTACAGTTCCAGTAAAAGGAACAGATTGATTTCTGTGTATTGTTCCCCTCCCGAAATAATTCATTGCCTGTTCTTTGCAGTTAACAGAACATTCAATCTGAATAGCTACTAGGTATCTTCAAAAAAACTGAATACAATAGCAATAATTTAGTTTCAAACCCACAGTTACTGTTGCAAGCAACTGCACTAGGTAAGACTTCATGCTGTTTCTTTTCATGACCTTTTTGTACATATTTATGTTTATATGGATTTCCTACATTTTTGGTTCAACTGAATTCTTTCTAAAATTTCAATGCTCAAGTATGTAAAACAAGAATCTAGTGTACTTCCAAAATTAAACTCTTGGGAATTAATGCTGTGACTATCTCCAGTCATATTTATGAATGGAATAATAGGTCTGTCTCTTGTTCTTTACTGTGTACCTTGAAGAAAAGTTTAGTTCTGTCTTCTCTGCTGTGTTGAACTACCTAGTAGCAGATATAAATAACTGCATTAAATACCAAATAGCGTGCCACCCAACTGTATTTTGAATCATGGAATCGTAATTTGGTTTGGAAGAGACTTCTACTGGTCTAGTCCAATTCCCCCTCAATGAGTAGGGACATCTTCACTAGATCAGGCTGTTCAAAGCCCCCTCCAACCTGACTCTGAATATTTCCATGGATGGGGCATCTACTGCCTTTCTGGGGCAACCTGTTCAGTGTCTCACCACCCTCTGAGTAAAAACTTCATCCTAACATCTGACCTAAACCTGCCCTCTTTCAGTTTACAGCCATTCCTCCTTGTCCTATTGCCAGAGGCCCTGGTAAAGGGTAGCTGTCCTGCTCTCTTGTAGCCTCTTTTGGGGACTGGAAGGGGCTGTAATATCTCCCCTTACTCCCGATGAACAGCCCCAGCTCTCAGTTTGTCTTCACAGGAGAGGTGCTCCAACTCTCTGGTCATTTCTGGATCCACTCCAATAGGTCCATGTCTCTCTTGAGTAGAAGAATATTTTCCAATTATCAACAAGCAACGATAAAGAAGAATTATACAAAGTGAGCTAAATTATCCTCCTGCTAGAGTCTTGAACAAGGAGTCTTCTGTGCCTATTGAGGGGATAAAATCTTTTCAGAAGATGGCACCAAGCAGGATTGTCAGTGTAATTCCAGTTGTTTCAGAGAGAAAACTTCCTACTTGTTAACCTTAGAGGAACATGATGCCATTGTTTGTGAGGATTGTGAGTTTGTGAGGATTGATTTTCCCTGACAGAACAGAAAATACAAGGAAATTACATATTTTATTTAAACAAATTAATGCAAGTTATGAAACATTTTAAAGCAAGTTGTACTGAACTCTCATGAACCTTAATATTTGGATAAACTTGAAATTTATAGAATGTGCAGAATTTTAAGGTAAATTAAAGGAAGAGATTGGTTTTAAAAATCCAAGTATCAGTAGCAGTGATTGCAAAGGGTCACAGACCTGTCCCCGAAGTTTCTGACATAATTTTGACTCATGTAAAGGGCAACCCCATCTGATACAACGGTTTGGTTTCTGATTTCTCTCTCCTCAAAATTTCCATGTTGTCCCCAGGGAAACTGGGGCTTACTTAATGTTACAATCACACTAATCTGTCACTGAGCTTCCAAATGAATGCATTGCTCTTTTTGAGAGCAGATATCTCCCCAAGAACAGTGAGAGTAATGAAATTGGGAAACACTGTATTAAATACAAAATAAATGCATCTTGGCTATGAATCTTGTTAAGCCTCAGTATCTTCTTTGCCTGTGTCATTTGTAAATACAAAGCTATGCCACCAAAACAATCTTTCTTCTTATGAAAAAAAATGAATTTGTATAAAATATCACTTTGATCTTCATTATGAATTACTTTTGCTAAGATAACTTTTAACATTCATTTCTTGTTTCTACAGCTTAGTTGTAAGTGATGATGATGTGTGGAGAGACCAGTTTTACAATGGAAATATTAAGAAAGAAAGAGGTAATGAACATATTTTAAAATACTACAACATTGTAACTTAATTCTCCATGAAAAAATATGTAATAAAAAGTAATAAGTTGGCTTAATTTAATTGATTATGATTTAAAACCTCTCCTGAGAAAATCAATCTCAAACATATTGGTTTGAAGAAATGGTTTGAAGAATTGGTTTGAAGAATTGGTTGAAGAAATGAAGCCCTCTGAACTGGTCTTCTATGATTGTGGCATACGTATTGAAAGAATATAATTTTGATTTTCATTTCCCATTACAAAAATGATATTGAAATCTAGAGAAGTTTTCCATTGTTTTGATAGCAATACCAGGATGGGTGGAATGCAACTGTGGCCATGTCATTGCTACATCATCTATCTACACCTGCCTGAAAAAGACAGAGATGGCATAGCAGGGGGAGAAAATCTGTTTGTGTTCTTTCTTTGAGGCTGGCAATTCTGGAGTGATTCTAGTATTAATGCACTAACAGAATTTTGCCTGTGGTTGCTAGTATAACAAATCAAGCTTTATCATTAAAATGCATGTGTAGTAAAATAATGTTATACATATTCATCTGTTATGTGTTAGGCATACTTACAAAAATACCATTTTAACTGTGTATATACAAACTCTGTGTCTATAGAAACAACACATGGTGGCTTTTGCTATGGAACTGTTTTAGTTTGCTGGTGCTCTGTTTACATTTAAACACACTTGTCTTTATATTTAAGGTGCAATAGTGCTACGACTTGCCAAATCGTGGTTTCGTATAGGATCCTTGGAAATCTTAGCTCACTCTGGGGAGCTGGACTTACTGAGGTTTGAACTGAATCTTCACAGTAACTGAAATAGTTTTCTCAACCATCAAATTACATTAGAATTCATGTATACAGTTGGAATTTAGACATAAATTATTTAGCAAGTGAGATTACGTAATTTAGAAAGGTAACCTGCTATGCTACACAAGCATACCAAAGATCTTACCTCACAAGGGTAAAACCCTTGAGATGTTTCTAAAGGCCTGGATCTTACAAAATGAGGAAAGTTTTATACCTAAGTAGCTCTGGTAACTAAGCACTAGGGAGGAATTGTTTGTTTTGGAAAGATTTGTAAGTTGAAAGTGTAAGTTTCTATATTTCTCAGAATTCTGTGACAGTTCCTGCAAATTTCAATGCATGTATCCCATTTCCCTAAGCCTGTCTTGTAGGAATGTGGAGAACTGTTTTGGGAGCAGCCAGCTACTGTGGAAGTAACCCTACTCCATAAGACTTCAGCCATAACATTTTCTTTGTGAGAATTCTGATGTAGAATGGTTATTCCTTGTAATCTTATATTGTTTTTTTGGAAATGCAAACTCTTTTTATTTCCTAAAAAAATGGATATTGCTGCATGCAGAACCATGTCCTGATGTGTTCTGGAGATTTAATGTGGGGATAATTTTAACTCTGTGTGGTAGTCTCCAGTCATATTTATGACTACAACCTTAGGTTTTATCTCTAAGCATTTTGGAAGAGCTTAATCTAATATTCATTGGAATACATAGACCAAGTTTTTTAATAATTATTTGTGGCAAGCTGTAGATCAGCATTTTGCTGTTTGAAAACAAGAATTTTTAATTATCAGTTCCAAAGTACCAGTGTTGTTTAAAGAATTCTGTTTCTGCTGTTACAGAAGATTGCTAGACTTTATCATCCAGGAACATTTTCCATCAATAGCTATGAATGATTCAAATAGATACCTGGTAAGTCTTTCTTAAGAGTAATTTTTATTTTCCAGAAGCATGTGAACAAAAATTACAGCAAGATCTTCACAATGTCAAGTTTTACAAGATTTTAAAATTTGAAATGAGCTTCCACTGTTTATTAGCAAAAGTTGTTAATTCTCTGCAATAAAAATCTGCTTCTTGATTTTTTTTTTTTGTTTGTTTTCTCAAAGTTAAATATGAACATTTCTTACCAGTTTCCATTTTGGAAATGTTTATTGTGAAGCTTCCATTTTCTGTTGTATTTTATTCTCTTACTGCTCAGGTTGTCAGTAAACAGTGGTCATGTTGTGATGAAGTGTGCTTTTGCTAATGTAAATGTAGTATATATAGTATATTCTAGTATACTGCCTAGTATATATAGTGTCTTTTTTTAAAATTAATTTTACTTCTTAATTTTAATTTTGATTTTACTTCTTAATTTCTTTAAGGGCATCTGTGTATACTTATTTAACTATAGTCTTTGCTGGATAAGGTTATTATGCATTCACATAATTTAGAATGGGAATGACAAGTCCTGACAGACAGATACCTGAATTTGAAAAATAGAATGTATTACATATTTCTGAAGCGAATAAAATGCTTATGTATTTCAATATTTTTGATACAGAGAACTTGAAGTAAAAGATTTATTTGATTTCAGGAATTTTTCTCTACAGTCGTGTCAGAGACTGCAAATCTCATTTCCTTGTGGATGTCTGTGGGGTTTGCACATGGTAAGGTGACAGATGGCATTGGGTTTAGGAGAGGGGCACTTCACAGTAATGTACTTAAAAATGGCTTTTATTTGTCACCATGGTATTTTGTGCTGCTGATGTCTTCACCTACAGCTTTGTCTGCCATGCAAGGGGCTTTTGTAACAGAGTTACGCTGTCTGATCTCTCAGCACAGCTCTGACAGGATGAGAATGGGGGAGCAAGAATTCTCAGAGCTGCTGCAGCAGTGCAGTGTACAAAGGCAGGGTGCTGATGCCATGTGTGACTTTAACTGCTCTGAATTTGATCCCTCCACACAAAGCCCTGGCCTGTTACAGGGCACAGGACACGATGCTGTCCGGCTCTGCTGCAGATTTGTGGGATTAACCCCCAAACAGTGCAGGAGCAGCAGCCTGGGTGTGCTGCGGGGCCTGGGCTGGGGGCAGAGGGATGGGTACGTTTTCCAGAGCCTAATTCCTGAGAATTCTCTAAATTCGGTGCACCTGTTTCACAGCAAATTGCCTAGAGACTGGGGTTCAAGTGGAATTTTAACTTTTGTTTCTCCTTTCTGTTTAACTGTAGGTGTGTGCAATACAGATAACTTCAGTTTATTGTCCATAACAATAGATTATGGTCCATTTGGATTTATGGACTCCTATGACCCAAGTAAGTGTAGCATTTGTTTTTTTGGTGTTGGTTTTTTTTTTTGGGTTTTTTTTTTTTTTTTTTTTGTACTTAAAATAATCTTTTTGTATTAAATCATATAGTTTCCATTGCATGAAAACTCCTTTCATTATTACTAGAAAAACCCTAAGCATGTGTACTGTTTGAAGATCTTTAGAAAAAAAAAATTGCATTAGTGATGAGTTTTATGGTAGACTATATAGGTTGCATTCAAGGACTAAAATTCTTGTTAAGGAAATATTACTATTAAACCCATTTCCATGAGAGTGTTTCCACTTGAACACCATCAATTCAATAGATGCTACAACAGAAGCCTAGAAAACTAAAAATTGTTTATTGCTGGAAGCAGCCAAAAGCAGAAGTGGAATGCAGTAACTTTGCATGCATGAAAGCTCTAGTTTTATAGTCATGTGAGTTAATTATCTGTTGGAAGAAAAGAAATCAAACCTACACAGTCATGGTAACCTTTTTTTGAAATTCTTAGCTCAGTCAGTCTGGGATTGATAGATACAGGTTCAATATGTACATAAATGTGTATTCTTAGAATATTGTTTATAGTTTGCAACTGAATAAACTTCAGAATCAGCAGTGGTTATCTTGCTATGTGTTTTCATGCCTGCAGCCTCAAATTAAGGAAAAGTCATGAGAATAAATGTCATATTGTTTCTGTTGTATTGAACAAAATGGGGATTTTTTGCTTTTAGATCTTTCTTTATAGGGCGGGCTAACCCCAGCTGGCAATTAAGGAACAAGCCACTTGTTCACTCCCCCTGCTGTGGGCTGAGGGAGACAATTGGAAAAGCAAGACTAAGAAAAATTTATGGGTCAAGATAACGACATTTGTATAAGTCAAGGGGAAAAAAATGGCAGGAGTGACCAGCAAGTGATGCAAAGATAATCACTCACCATATGTCACCACCAGACTGATGCCAAGTCAGTTCCCAAGCAACAACTGCCTTGGAAAAACTACCCCCAGTTTTTATTGCTGATCATGATGTTGTAAATGTGGAGTATCCCTTTGGTCAGCTGAGCTCAGCTGTCCCAGCTGCATCCCCTCCTAGCTGGCCCACTCCAGCCTCATTTTCTGGGGTTACAGACTGAGCACAGAGCCTTGACGCTGGGCCAGCCCTGCTGAGCAATGTGTAGAACATTGCTATGCTATCAGCACTGTTTTGGTCCCAAGTCCAACACACAGCGCCAGACAGGCTGCTGTGAAGAGAACCGACTCTGTCCCAGGCAGACAGTGCACCCTAGAGCCAGACGAGAGGTGTTGGAACCACGGATTGGAGCCACTCAGCAGATCTGACAGATGAGTTGGGAGTCTCCTCCTTAAAGCTCCCTTTGCTGTCAGTGTCCTCTGAGGACTGGGGCGATGCTGCGTGTGTTGAACAGCTTATCTGGGTTTGATCTGAGTGAGGGGTTCCCACTGATCCCCTCAGAGGCTGCTGCTGTAGACAGGCGTACATTTTGCTTCTGGATACTTGTAACTTGCATGACATGGTATTTGTTATCTCCCAGATAATGGATTTGCATACTGGAACACATTAGGCCTAATTTTCATGTGAATACAAAGCTTGCTTGTCCAATTGAAACATATCTTGCTTAGGTGGCCTATTAAATACATATTTACTATATGTGTGACTTTTCCATAAATACTTGAATCTTGAATCTAGTTGGATGTTTGTTTGTTTATTCTATGTGCTAAATAGTAGTACTAGATGTAGTAAAATACTGGGTTTAAGTGTGAAAGACTGTTTTTAATGCAAAATGTTTTTCTTCTCTGTAACCATCTGAATTTACCTTGTATCTTTAGGTAGGAAAATTTCACTTGTGACACATGGGAACTTGTGTGTGAAGGATGTATTCCTTAGATTTGCAAATAATAGATTTTGAGTTAACTCACTTTAAATAAGTATTCTTGTGATCTGATTTTAAATATTTAGTAGTTTTAGGTCTTCTATAAGTTTGCTGTGTAAGAACAAAAATGAATATATTTCAATATTTTAACACTGATTTTTTTAATTGTAATTACTCTGTTATGGAAAAGTAATGTTTTGTTTGAAACAGATTTTGTTCCAAACACATCTGATGATGAAAGGAGGTATAAAATAGGAAATCAGGCAAGTGTTGGGCTGTTTAATCTGAGCAAGCTGTTGCAAGCTCTAAAACCTTTATTGGATCCCAGGCAAAAGCAGCTGTAAGTAATCCTTAAAATATCATAATGCTTAAAGAAACTAGTGAGATGGGAGACACTGTAATCACCATATGCTTAGAAAAGAAAGGGATTTGCTTTTAATTTTTTTTTTTTTAACTGGAAATTGATTCTGCATTAATTGTTGGCCAGAATAAAATTGGAGGGTGGGGAGAAGTTTTTGTTGGTCAGAAATAGTAGTAAAATAGGACCACAGGGAGTTATTAGATGTTGTGTGATCCTTTCTCCTTTCACTAACGTAGGACCTTTGCCTGTAGTTTTCTGTTCTAAGTTTGCCTAGCTTGTTTTTTAAGACACTTAGGAACACCATGCATCCTCCTGAAGTAATGAAGGAGTATTTTAATAGCCTCTTGTGAAGATTCTTATGTGAAGAGCAGATCCCAGATGATTCAGAATATCAGTGTTTCTGAGAGAGCAGGCAGACGTTTTCGTTGTTTAGTGTACAGCAGGATTATACCTGCAGCAGCATTTTAGTTCCTTAGAACTTGACATTTCTTCTGTTTTGCAGGGCTTCCCAAATTTTGGAGGGGTATGGTGAGCACTATCACAGTCGGTATGCACTTTCAGAACTGAAACCTTCTAGTCACAATGCTATAAAATATATAATGTTCACAACTTCCATACTGTGTTACTATTTTCAGTTTTACAGAACTATTCAAAACAAAATTGGGTCTTCTTGGGGAGAATGAGAATGATAACTATTTGATTGCTTTCCTCTTAAAAGTGAGTTTACTTTGCTAATTTTGTTGGCAAACACCTGAACTGGTACCTCACACTTGAAAAGTACTCATAGAAGAATCTTTATTCACTAGATTATGGAAGATACAAGGGCTGATTTTACAATGACATTCCGAGAGCTGAGTGAAATTACTGCAGAGCAGTTAAAGGAGCTCCATATTCCTGAGGTATAAGTACAAGCACCCAATCCTAGGAATACTTAATATAAAAAGAGTAAATCAAGTTGGACATAACTCTGATGTAGTAGATGCTATCTCAAGCCATGATTTGTCTTGATGGGAAATTTGTTATTGTGTCATTATTAAGGGACAGAGGGACTAATACACCTGTGTCAGGCTACCACCCCTTGTTAAGCCTGTATCTGGTAATGATGAATATGTTAATGAAAAGTGTTAATGAAAGGTGCATTCAAGTCAGATTTTCAGCCTTTGGTACAGGTCCAATATGAGTAGTCATAAATACTCATACACAACTGGGAATGTGATTTTTGTCACATTTAATGTGGGTCTGCTACAAAGAATTTTCTTCTCCTTCATCTCCCTGTTTTTTTGTTGTTTTGTTTAAGAATACCTTTTGTCCAACAAGTGCACAGGGCTCATGCGGAAAATTTCACCCTCAGGTCAACCAGACTGTTCCTGGCATGGGTTTACCAGGTGGCCTAAACCTCTGCTCTCAGGCATATTTACTTATCTTGGTATCTAATGATAAGTGAGATTCCATCTCAATATAAACTCCTGCTACAATTCTTTGCCTAGAGTGGCCTCTGCCCTTCTTGAGCAAGAGATTGGTTTTAAATGTAACATTTTGCTATTGTGTCCTGCTCAGCCTGCTATCTCATCCTGTGTTGCTGCTAACTTAGCCTAAACTTATTCTTCAGAACCAAGTGTAACCATATATAAAGACATGAGAGTATTTAAATTTTTTACCTGCATGTAGTGCAATCTTTGAAAGTGGAAATATAGCTGAAATATTTGAACTGGACTGAGATGCTAGGCAAGTCATAATTGAATAAAAAAGAAAAAGAGAAATTCTGAAAAGGAAGCTTGTAATCTGGTTCTGAAAAGGAACCTAAACTGGAAAGAAAAATAGCCTTTTTGCGAGAGCCAAAATGATTTTTTTTTTCTTTTATTCTTTAATGCAGTGCCTTTTCCATGTGATGAATGTTGTTCATCTTGCCTGGGAAACTTCATTGCCTTCCCCAAACATCTGATTTATGTCTGTTTTTGAAGCCAATTTAAAATGACAGCAGGTGGACTTAGGAGGTTGTTTTAAGGTAGCAGGATGACAATGTAAAACACAGAATGAAAATGAGGAGTTGATGGTTCTTTTGCCAAGTATAATTAAGTGGGTTTGAGCAAATTCTCTGGTTTTCCTTGTTTTCTTCTGTTAAGTAAGAGTTCTATCCTGACCTTTTCTATGAACTTGAAGCCATTAAGAGTTTAAAAGTTTAGATGCTCTAGAGGTAAGCAACAAAAACCTCAGGAGTTGTGGCTTTGGAATTAATTGTTTGCACAGGAGGGTGATAAGAGGATGGGTGTATTTGTAAGAGAAGGTATTTTTGTCATAGAACTCAAAGAATTTTTCCATTTATGGAAACTCCAGCTTCCCATCTTTGAAGGTGTTGGCTGAGGAACCAGCGATTGTGGTGTAGTTCTGATCCTGCTGCTGCACCGAGGGTCATTTCCAGCCTTCACTTGATAGCAAGCTGGTATTTTTTTTTTTTTCCCACACAAGGAAATTATTTAGCCCACAGATTCTGAGTTCCAAAACTGATGTGGAAAAACAAGTACAATTTTATGCTGGTAAACAGTTTTCAATGTTTTAAAGAACTTCAATTATAAAGTAATTTCACCTCTGTTTATTTACACACCGATGCTTTCATGAATAAGTTTTCATATTGATTTGTACATTGCTTAAGATTTTTTCAGCTGCATACCAAAATTGCCCTAAAAATGCCAGAATCCTTTGGGAACACTGCAGGAGTCCTTATATTTAGTATTAACTGAAAACGTTCTGAAATTCCTCCTAAAGCAGCCTAACTGCACATCTTTGAACAAATGCTTGATTCTCATACTGACCTGTTATCCACCTGCCTCATTCCCAGCTCTTAGTCATTTCTGTGTTCATTTTTTATGATCAAATATAGTTTTCATATATTTTTTTACTCTTATTCATAAAAAAAAACCCCAAAACCAAAAAACCCAGATGGGATAAAAACTTTTTCTTCTTACTTTAATTTCCCTTAACTTTTTTTTTTTTCCTCAAATATGTGCTGTTTACCTCCTTTTATCTATGTCCATTTCTTCCTAATCTCTTCTTTCTCTGAAGTTAATTTTTTCTCTGTGAGCTTTGGCTGCTTTCAGCTGAGGAATATGAAGCAGCTGTTGCCTCAGTGCCATCAGCCAGGGAGGCCTGGTTTGTGTTTGCTGTCCATCACTGGAGGCAGTAATCCCAAGCAGTAACCCCAAGCTCTGATTTCTTGCTGTCAGCATTTTCCAAGTTCTGTTTTGTGTCCTGCTGTCTCTGTTCTTCTGAGTTTTCTCCTATCCCTGTAGACTTTAGTTTCCTTTTTCTTCATCTTTTCTCTATTTATATATTTTGCTTATTGCACAATTTTTGATGAAAAGCAACTCTGTGAATATATCTGACCCATGTACAAGTCTCAGAAGAGAGTGAATCCTGTAATTGTGTAGCTTAAATAGGTCAGACAATAAGCAAAGGAAGAACAGGGGTGAAGTGCTAGAGGTGTTTAGGTAAAATTTATCATAACAGAGATGGATTCCTGTGGATGTATCATGCTAGCAAAAATAAATAATTTGAATACAGAGGAAAAGATACTAGTAGAATGTTTAGATTCTTCTTGGTAGGTTATCATACATTTGCCTTTTAAATCCTTTTATTGTTCATTGTCCTGGTTTCATCTGGGATAGAGTTAATTTTTTTCCTAGTAGCTGGTACAGTGCCATGTTTTGGATTCAGATTGTGAATAATGCTGATAACACACTGATGGTTTAGTTGCTGCTGAGCAGGGCTTACACTAAGTCAAGGACTTTTCAGCTTCTTGTGGTGCCCTGCCAGGAAGGAGGCTGGGGGTGGACATGAAGCTGGGAGGGGACAGAGCCAGGACAGCTGACACACACTGGCCAAAGGGATATCCCACAGCACTTGGTGCCATGCTCAGCAAATAAACTCGGGGAGAGCTCGGGGGGGATACCCTGCTTGGGAACTGGCTGGGCACAGGTTGGTGAGCAATTGTTTTTTCATTTGCATTACTTGTTTCTGTTGGGTTTTATTTCTCTCTCCTTTTTATAATTTCCTTTTTATTGCTATTATTACTATTATTATTGTTATTATGAAATTATTTCAATTATTAACTGATCATATCTCAACCCATGAGTTTTCTTACTTTTAACCTTACTTTAAACCCCAGTTGAGGGGAAGCATGAGCAAGTGGTTATGTGAGGCCTAGTTGCCAGCTGGGGCTAAAGCACAGTATTTGTTACTTACTTCGGTTGTTGCTTAACAGAAAAATAATTCTGATTATCTGTCAATAAATGTTTCCCTCTCTTTAGGAGTTCTGGGCTCTCCAGGATCTGGGTAAACACAAATTATTTTCAGAATGGGTTACTATGTACCTCCTGAGATTAAACAGGTAAGTCTGATTGCAGTTTAAAGTGTGTATTTGCCAGAAGCAGGCAACTTTATTCTGCAGTGATTTTGCACAGTCTTTAGTGGGTCTAATAAACTGGCCCAAACATGGTTTCATACACCTTTTTTTGTTTTCTTGACTCTACATTGTGCTGGATTCAACAGTAATTACTGCTGTAGTTTTGTTTTAACACTCAGGTACATAAAAATGACATTGTAGGAGTAATTTCTATTCTTTGTCCTTCATTGAGCACCTGATCAGTGTTCTTTGGTCAACAGTTTTTCTTAAAATACCAATCCTACAGGTTCAGTCCAAGAATCACAAACAGGATTTGCAAGTACATGGGAATTAATAATGTTTAATTACTGTTTATGCATATATATATATATGTATAAACAGTATGTATTAACACCTCATATATATATATATATATATATATATGTATTTACTGTGTAATAACATCACTTTATGGTGGCAGGGGATGGAAGTTGCAAATACACAGATTGTGTTTGGAAACCATGGTGTTGCATGGATAGGAATGCACAGGATTCTTTTGTGTTAAATCAATAAAGAATCTAACATTTTTTCTTAGTTATATATGGTATGCATGGCTAATAGTAGTGAAAATAAATACATTTCAGGTACTTGGAAATTTTATTCAGTAAATACAATTCTTAGGGGAAAAAATCAATATGAGGCACAAAACCTATAAGAAAGTGTGCAGTTTTTTCCAAGTCTAATAATCTGTCGAGATTCACACTGCCTTCTGCCAAACAGAAAAGCAGAGCACTTAATGATTTTAATGGAAGTCAAATAAGATATTTCTAAAAATAAATCAGCTTAACCCTCACTAGCTAAAGTGCTTTCTGTTTTTCTTCTTTTTGTTTTTGATGTGTAGTAACAATGGTGACTCAGATGCCAAAAGAAGAACTAGAATGGCAAGTGAGTAAAACAATCCAATGGAATCATCTGTTTGCAGATGGCAAATATCTATTCACATATGTTTCTTTAGTGTTAGATATCTTTCTTTTTGGGTAGAACTAAAATACAGTATTTTTCTGAAGAGGAGAAGCTCTCATGCTGCTCCAAATCTTTTAACACTATACATTCATTCTGTCTGTCTCTGGCCTTTCCACATGCTACACAGAATTCAGATTTCTGATAGGGACACACTTTTTCTTTCTGTCACGTAGAGGAAAAACTCCTTGTGAAAGGACTATCTGGTCATAGAAGGCAAAGGAAGGTGCTTTGATTCTCCAAGTTACTCCAATCACAAAATGGCAAAGGTACTGCAGTTAGGTATCAGGGCAGAAACAGTGGATATGAAACTCCAAGAACTGTTCAGCAGGAGATATTTTTGATCTGCAGTAAGCTGTGGTAAATTTGTGAAATTTGCCTATAAGAGAAAATGAGCAACAGAAAATCAATGGCCAAAAGGGAATAAAGGAACTACAAGATCTGATCAAACTCTGCACATGAGGCTTCACTGGTACACTGCATTGCAGGGTGCTTCTGCAAAGCAGGATGGAAATGGCTGCATTCTTTTGTTAGATATTGATTGGCCACTTTCTTCTAAAGCTCCAGTCAATTTGCTAGGAAAATGGCAGGAGCTGGCACTGACTTTCAGTAATGAGGTAGCAGAACTACAGAGGGCACCATTTATGGTTTCAGGTTTGCATCCCCATTTTCTAACAAAGGCTCTATCCTTTTTAAAGAACTCTTCTTAAAGTTCTATATGCATTTTGGAAAGTTAATATGAAAAGAGCTACCAAGAAGAAATATTTGTTTTATTGGTTTTTGATGGGGTTAAGAAGCTTCACCTGTGAGTTTCTGAGGCCCTTCACTCAATTATCATTTTGAATTTTCAAGTTTCTGTTTTCCTCAGCTAAAGTAGAATGCTGAAAACTGTCTAAACACATTTCTTATTTTTCTGTATCTTTTAAATCTGCTTTTAGAGAAAATCGTGACATTCTGAGGTTTTATTCCAAATCAGAAAGAATCCTAATTTGTCAATGATCGGCAAACCCTCATTGTGTTTTTCTACATGCACCTCAGAGGATCTCATAGTACAGGAGACAGATGAAACATGGAAAAGGTTTTACCTCCAAAATCACACTTGTGCTAATGGTGTTAGTTTTGGTTGCAGTCAAAACCTGATCTGCAAAGATTCATGGTTCAGTTAATTTTCTTCCATATAATCAACCATCACTCTCTGTTCATACTGCAGAGCTGCAAAAATTTATAATAGGTTACTGGTGTTAGTTTGTTATTTTTTTATTTAAAATCAACAACCTTTGTTGAAGGGTTGGACTTTTGCTAGCTGCTCGATATTACAGTGCGACTGAAATTTCTTACAGAGGTTTTTGGGATTTTTTTTTTCTTTTTTACATTTTTATATCCATAGATTTAAAACAATTACTTAGATGCCTCTGTGGTCTCTTTAAAAATTATTTCAGTTTTTGGTTTGTTTGTTTATTTGTTTGTTTGAGCATTTGCTTGTAACAGCTGTCCTTGTCAGCACAACTTCCAGCAGAAATCTGGCTCAATTCAGTCAACTCTGCATTTTTACCCAGCATTTCATGTTGAAGACAAATCTGTCCTGGCTGCTCAGATTCTCAACAGGGTTGGGGAGTTCCACTAAATGGAACTGCTGTCTTTGACTGACCTTGAATATATTTGCATTAACACCTCATTATTCATCACCCTTCCCTAATTGTTAGTAAGTGTCATAAAAAAAATCTCACTTCTCAAAGTACATTAACTTGAATCATTTAAAGTCATCACTTATTAATTTTTTTTCTTCCTTTCTTTTTCTGTTCTTAGTGTTTTATCTTGCACCGCCTAAGCTTAGTTCTTCTGGAGTTGATCAAAAAGTTTTGACAATCCAAGCCTAAAATTGTATTTCTTTACAAAAGCAGCATGTAAAAAAAGTAGACCAGATCATGCTTATAAGGGCACAGAAGTTCTTTTGCTTTGTCCTTTTCTTACCTGGCTTGTATTACTCTTTCATAATTATCTTGTCACTTGTGTTAAATACCGATATTTTTAAAACCACTGTGAAACTTGTCAATTTGCAATTGTTAAGAATTTATTTCTGGGACAAATATTCTCCTGCTAAAATGACTCACAGCTCTAATGTGAATTACCATTTTTTGAATGAGTCATATGTTAACTTTTTCACCTTTTGAAATATTTTTTAAAATAGTTATCACACTTTACTACTGATAACCCATTTACTGGATTAAATCAAATACTTGGCCAGAGCAAATTGTTTTGCCAAGTGGTAAAACACTGTTTTTTTAGCAGTTGGGGAAAAGTGTTGTTATGCCTGTGTAGAGGTTTTCAGGATTTCCAGTAGAGAGTTGTATTTATTGGCTTTTTTAATATGTAAGTACATACTGGACAATGGGGATGTGAAAAAGACGAATGTCTGTGGCCCCTTCTAATACATAATTTGTAAATAAAATAACTTAATAACTAATTGATTAAAGGAATTGAGTAGAGGGAAGTTTGAGATGGTAATTTTGATGATTCCTCTTTTTCCAATACCTCTTTCAAATATGCTGTAAGGGTATTTGTAAGAATATTTTATAAAAGTTCACAGATTTTTAAAAATAAATAAATAAACCTAGGATTCATTCATATAAAACCTATTGGGACATTAGTGGGAAGAGAAGGAGATGAAGTTTGTGTATGTCCATAAATTACAGACTTTTGGTTTCAGGTGCATGAGTGAAATGCTTTGGTGTCACTAATACCATAATGTAATAAATGCTTACTGAACTGGGGAAAACATACAGACCAACAGCAAATTAAGACTTCAAAGCAGGCTTGAAGTGTTACAATTATTCTGTAACATTTTTTTGATCATTAGGTAAAGGGAAAACTTACTGAAGTAGAATTCTAGCCTTTAGTTGCAGAACAAAAATAAGAATTTCATTGACATAATCTGCTAGAAAATTTATAGTGCCATGTGTGCTTTTTGGAATTGTCCCTGGCATACAGTTTGACAAAACTCCTTTTGTAAGTTGTTAGCGGCTCTGCTGTAGGATGTATCCTGGTTTACTAATTCAGCAGTTTCATTTTCCATTATTGCTGCATTCTCTCTCCTGCTCATTAGACAAAAGCAGCCTGAAACAAGGCAGGGAAGCAGTGCAGTTGTCATGATGGTTTCCAAAAGGATACATAGACAGATAGCTCTGGAAAACAACTGAGGAACCTCTGCCTATCCCCAGCCAGGAGATTAAAAGGAAAGTTGAAAAAGTAGTTTCTAAAAATATACCTGAAATGTAACATTAAAGGCTTTTATGGCTAAACTTTTGTTACATGACATAGAAGGAGTATCTATATACAGATACTTTAAAGGATATCTTAGTAATTACTTTGTAAATTAAACAGTATTCATTTTTGTGATCTCCAGGAAAGTATTGACAACATTGAAATGTTTCCATCAACACAGCAGGAACCTAGGCCATGGTAAACTCATCATCACACCTGAAAAGCCTGCTGGTGTTCCTGACAGGAAATCCTTCCTCTATCCATGTCATGTTCTGTGCTCTAATTTCTGTTTGGTACTTTGGCACTACTGATAGTGCAAGTTTAAAAAATCCTTTTAGCAACTCACAGAATTAAGTAGATTAATTAATTCCTTTTCCTTTTTATGCATTTTTTATTGATCTGCAAATTTACCTCTTCTTGAAGATTTCAGTGACATGTTTCAATGACTGTTTTCATTTTGTTTAATATGTCTAACTAACATTATTTACTCTTGGTTTCAGCTGTTAATCCTAGATATATACTTAGGAATTGGATGGCAGAATCAGCAGTGCAAAAAGCTAATTTGAATGATTTCTCTGAGGTAAAATTATCTTTTTTTTTCTTGACAGATTTAATAATAACTGGCATCACAGCTAATGAAACAATTGTTACATTTACACTTTGAATTGTACTACATTTTGACCAAAATTGTACCATGTAATGCCAATTGCTATTTAAAGTATTAACAAAATTATGAATAGTATTAATTATAACATAAATAGCAGTGACTGCATTAATAGTAGTACAAATAATACTAAGCAATTCATGTGATAGTTTCTGGAGCCAGGAGGGTGCATAAGACAAAATGAAAAAAGCTTTCCTTGTTTACCAGAAAACATTTGGTGTAAAAACTTACCCATTTTTAATTGCTTCCAGGTTCAGCTCCTAGAGCAGGTTTTACAGCACCCCTTTCAGAGGCAGGAGGCTGCAGAGAGAGCAGGGTACTCCCTGCGCCCCCCAGCCTGGGCCAAGCATCTCAAAGTCAGCTGTTCATCGTGAGGGAAATTCAAACAAGCAAGAAGAATTATCAAGGTCAAAGCTCAAGCCTTCAAATAGGGCTAATGGATCAAGCCACAGGAATTTCTCTCCCTTAGACTGGGTGGACTGGAATCTGCTACGGTTCTTGACCAACTGATGAAGTCTCAAGATTAAAGAAGTGCATCACTATCTATGGTTGCATCAGCAGATTATACTGGCATTAACAACTCTGCCTCTCACATTCAGCTGTGCTTTACTTTGAGTCCCAATATTTAAGTTCTGCCAAACTGTAACACTTAACCTTTCAAAATTCATGGCTGATCAGATGGGTCTTAATAGCTTTTAGTGACTGATCCATTTAAAACCCATCTAGGCTAGTTTTAATAATGCAGTATTTTGGTGAATTTTCCTCTTGCTGTTAAAGACTCATCAAATATAGCCATTTTCTGCAGACATAAATGTTCTTAAATCTTGCAGACCTGGCACAGAGGATCATCTTAGACCTTGATACCTTTTCTCATTCTGATTATGTTTTGTCCCATTAAACTGAGAGAAGATTTAAAGGAAATTCAATTAAATAGTTAGCAAAGATGTCTGTCTTGGAAGAGACAAAAATGTCTGTCTTACTCCAGAGCAAGTTTTGGTGTCTTTGCTGGTGTCAGGTACCTTTCCAGAGGACCACTGCTCTTTCAAAGTATCTTTTGATAGGAGTAGAAAGATTATTGGTGCACAGATATGAAGTCTCAGGAAAAATTCACTGTTTGGCCCTGGAAAAGGACTGTGATGGGAGCATCTCAGCTGAGACTGCTTCAGTTTCAGGTATGGAGGAAGATTGAAAAGGACATGCTGCAATTTCAGATATTTTCAGACTAAAATACTGTAAGGTCTAGTGATATACAGACCATTTAGAAGGCAATAGGTTAGGCAGAGGTAGCAGGATTAATTTCTTTCTACAAATGCTTTGAATTACAGCATTGGAACATCTTTTCATATTTTGCAGCATATTTTGGTACCAGATCAAGCCAGATAATTGTGTATCAATAAGAGGCAGCTTTGTTCTTTGAATAGAGTTTAAATCTTACATTTAAAGAATTCCATGTAACCATGTACCAACACAAAATAGTTGATAGACGTCTAATCGATTATCACAGCATTTTACTTGATTTCTGGAGTTTTCTGTAGGCTTTGATTTTTTTTTTGTTTTGAAGAAAGTTCAGCTTCTTTTGTGTAAGATTAAGTGCATGAATTATGATCGACTGCAGATGTAAAATGTATTAAAATTGATTTTTTTGTGTTATAACAAAAGAGAAGGGAGGAAATAGGGTGGGAGGCTGAGCATTCTGGTGAGAAGAGTGAATGCTAGAAAAGCCATTGTAAAAGTCTCAGTGCTTTGTGACCTTATTGTGCAACATTTTTCCAAGGACATGTTCTGCTTAATTTTGATGCTGGGTGTATATTTCATAAAATGCATTTGATTTAAAAACAGTTGACTCGTAGACAGCTGTTGTCACCTTAGTATATCAAATATGTGCACTCCTAGTCAGAAAATGACACCTAGCTCTTCAGTGATTCTGCATAATACTTCCTTCAGTTATATATGGAAAGGGATCGGGAAACAGCAATCCTTTCCTCATTTTTATTTTTTTTTTAAACTCCTGGTTTTAACCCTCTTACTTTAAGGCCATTGGTATTTTTCCCCTCCACTTTGAACTGAGGCTTGTATGAGCCTTGCACTGGTCTCAGGCATTTCTCACTCTGGCAGTTTGAATGTGCTGATACCTTTAGCATGTCCCATCATGTCAATTCAAGACTTCCAGGTGACATTATTGTTAATGGTGGGCAGAGTTCTCTTGGTGAGAGCTTTTTGCTCAGTTCAGCTGAAAGCAAGGGAGCTCAAAAACCAGTAAGAGCTGGATGGACTCTCTCTGTCAGCTTCACATAGTGTTTAAAGCAAAATCATTTCAGGAAGAAATGCATGTGGTTCCAAACACTGTTTTCAGCTTTAAATAAAAGAAAAGAGAATTTTTTTAAAAGCAGTGATTTCAAAGGGAAAGGTTCTTTATGAAGACATGGTTACAGCTTTCTTATTTCTGCTAAGCTTGTAATGCAGGTATGTAAGTATTGACAAAACAACCTTAAGCCACAAATAAGACTAGAGATGACCCAAAACATAGACAGTGGCACTGCCACCAGCTTGTCATTCTCTTGCCTCCACCACCACTGCTAGATCTAGGAATCCATTCTGACAAACACAGCAGGCTCACCCCCTGCTCTGTCAGCTGCTTTCATGCATTTATTTATTTAGACCACACTTGGCTTTTTCTGCTTTTTTGTAATTCAAAATACAGATATATACTGCTGATGTTATCTTAGAAGGTCAAGTGTACATGAGAAGAGGCAAAGACCAGAATAAATAAAAACAAAGTTTAGAAGGTATAGGCAAAAATTCTTTAAAATATTTGAAGTTCCAATTGCCAGTAAAATGGCTGTTCATTAACTGTGACACTTTGTAGAGAAATAAAATAGAAGCTATTTTTATTTAAGAGCTAACAATGAATGCTTTCTAAACGAACAGTGGAGAATTAAATCTGGAGAACAAATGAAAAAAAAATTGTAGGAGAATACATTCCTATCATGTACAAGAGACTTACAAATTCTTTCACAAGACAGATCATTTCTAGGTACAGTTTGACAAATGTTAACCAAGAGAAAAAAAATGTTAACCAAGAGAAAAAAAAATTCCTGCTTACCATGGAAGCATACATGATTTCAAAATAAATTTTTTTACTTTGTCTAAGGTAACCAAAAAAATGAGATTTCAAAGCAGCAGCTGTGAATGCTGACAGATGTGACTGAGTTGTATATAGAAACAGGAATGTATAACATTTGAGGTGACACTGTCTGGAAATGGTCCTGGACCTAGAAGTTTTAAAAGCATCTTTGTATTGGAAGAAAACCCCCCACAGCTGAAAGTTTTCCAATAAAGAACTTTTAAGGGCATTTCTGTGAAAAGGGATCTTCCTTCCCGCTTCTCAAAATTTGCATGAGGACATTGTATTTTTCCTTTAACTCCAATTCTACTAAAAAGGCAGCCAGAGTAGATGCATTTCACTTTCTGAAATGGATGCCTCCACCATCCCTAGCTGTTCTTGTGGAGGGAAGTAAGACTCTCCACCGAATTCTTACCTTGGCCTGGTGCTGGAATGGGAGTTAAGAGCAGGGGATGGTGAGGTGCAGGGGAAAGGGGCAGGTTACAGGGACAAAGTGGGGGACATAGGGTGCCTCGTCTTCTTGAGACTCTCCAAGAGGAAGTCTGAAGGAGAATTTCTCCTGGAGAAGCCTGATTCAGCATGACATTCTGTGATGCCTCAGAAAACCAGCTATGTCTTAAAGTCTATCCACTCCCAGAGTTCAGGAGCTATTACCCCTTTTCTTCTCAAGAACTTTCATTAGGTCAGACATGAAATCTGCTTGCTTGCCTCCCCCTGCAATCAGAGGTGGCCCTGCTGACTGTGACTCTCCATCCTGTCCTGTGTTTTCCAGCCTTTTTGGAGGAAGTGGTACAGCTTTCTTCATTGGAAGTGGTGGTGGCTTATTGGAGACAGGTGGAGGTGGAGGGGGTAATGGCACATCTCCATTACTGCTGCTGGAGACCGGTGGTGGTGGAGGCACAAAATCAGGAGGTGGTTCACAGAAATCGGATGGTGGTGGTGGAGGAGGAAAATCAATCTTCAGTGTCGGTGGTGGTGCTGGAAAGCTCTCTGGATCTGTTAGGAAGATGCCACTGTCTCGTTTCACTTTGGAGGGTAGAACTGGTGAAGCAGAAATAGCAGATGAACGCCTTTCAGGTGGAGGAGGAGGCTGCAGTGACGTCCTCTTACTCTGGACTTTCTGTGGCCTCAGCAATGGCTGTGCCAGGCCCGCTGCACCGGTGTTATTTGTTTCAGCCTTTAACAAGCAGAAAAATAAAAGGACAGACACAGTCGGTAAACGTGTAAACTAATGCCACTGCCTAAGAACATAAAAAGATATGAAAATACATGAGTGTAGAAGACAGGGAAATCAGGCAGAGTACATTTTGCCTGAAACATGAAAAGAGTATTTTGTTTTCTTTCTGGAGCTGCCCGTAGAGGTTTGACAGTGGAAACCTCCCTGTTGACAGTATTCATAGTGCTTATTTGAATGTTGTTCACAGAAGATGAGTGCTTTTAAAATTTCAAATAATTGCAGTTAGTAAGACTAACATCAGTGAAGTATCTTGGGGAATCATTGTCCTTGAGCCTGGAAGAAATGATCTTTGAATACCAACCACCTCTCTTGGACCCCTCTTCTCTTCAGGGCCTTCTCCCATGGGATTCTTCCAAGAAGATCCCTAAAGATGCTAAAGTTAGCTCTCCTGGAGTCCCTGTTTGAAATCTTGCTCTCTGTCCTGCTACCTCTTCCTTCAATTCTGAACTCTACAGTCTCGTGGTCACTGCAGCCAGGCTGCCCCAACCGTCCCACGTCCAACAAGGCCTCCCCTGTTTGTAGTACGAGGTCGGGCAGCCCAGCATTCCTTGTGGGATCCTTCAGCACTTGTGACTGGAAGTTGTCATCAATGCTTTCCAGGAGCCTCCTGCACTGCTTGTGCTTTGCTGTTTTGCTTCTCCAGAAGATGTCAGGGTAGTTAAAGCCCCCCAAAACCAGGGCCTGTGACTGTGGGGCTGCTCCAGCTGCCTGTAGAAGGCCTCATCCACCCCCTCCTTTGATCAGGCGGCCTGTAGCAAACACCCACAATGGAGTCACCCTTACTAGTCTGCCCTTTATCCTCACCAGGGCAGAGCTCTGCACACTCCAAGTGCTGCTTCACATCGAGGGCAACTCCACCACTGCACCCTCCTGGTCTGTCTCTCCTAAACAGCCTGTGGCCCTTCATGACAACATTGCAGCCATGGGAGCTGTCCCACCATGTCCCTAATTGCAATGACATCGAAGCCCAGTGGCTGCAGACAGATCTCTAGTTCCTCCTATCTGCTGCTTCTAGAGAAAAGTGCTCTGCACCCCTGCAGCAGCATTAATTCTAGCATGAGCTAATTATAACATGTATGCCTCCTCTTCCTCACTCCTCGCCTACAAACATGGAAGTAAATGAGACTCAGGAGAAGGGAACCAGTGGCTGAGTTCTCAGAATGTGATCTGGTCCAGAGGAAGTAAGGTTCAGAACAGAGAAACAGGAGGAACTCAAAGACAGAAACAAGAAGTGTAGAACACGTAATGCTGGTGACAGAAAAATCCTAGGAATTTAATTTCATTTGTCCTGTGCACTTCATACATGATGAAGAGATTTAATAATGAACTCTAAACAAATGCACACTTTTTTCTGTATGATGATCTTGAGGTTCTCTTACTGTACCCTTTGATATTTTTACAGCCAGATTTGGTGCAAGTACATGAAATTTGGAGCTTAACAAGAAATGCATTTAGAGCCTAAGGAAAACATGTGTTTTCCCTTAGTTCTTCACAGTTTCTCCTTTCTTACACACTCATCTTCAGCTGGACAGTGTTCCCTACTGAAAACACTATTTATGTCTTGTGTTTCTAAGACAAGACCTTGTTTTTTGGCAAAGACAGAACACGGCACCAAGGTTCTAGCAGCACACTTTGAGACTATCCCAGCAGGCACATTCCTATTCCTGCTACATGAACTCATGGCTGCTTGTTCTGAAGAACAGAAGCAGTGGATGGCTGTGCCTTCACCTCCCATTGGAGGCTCCTGGTTCTGTAAGCACACACTCTGTTTAAGTGTGTGGGGCAGTCACCTTTCCCAGGAACCAAATCCTTCTCATTGGCACTTTGAGGGGGAAGACAGTAGGTGAAGGAAAACAAACTTGGAAAATTCATTCACAGATGACATTTAATTGTAGCAACTGCTCACTTGTGCCTCAGATGTATCCACTTTCTTCTGAGTGTCTGGAAATTCTGCACTGCAACAATGACCACTTTGGGGAATCTGTCCATTTGACTGAACAGTACCTGTGACAAGGAGAGGAGCCAGAGGGAAGAGAGTGTTAGGTTTTTTTGATATTAACCAGATCAGGGAATACCCAACTATAAAAATCTCTTTACAACTTCCACAAGGAAACACTTGTTACAGAGTTTTTGTACATAACTCAGTAAAATCTGTTTTCTACTTCAAGCTCATTTTGTGACTTTTCTTATTCAGTTTTATTACTTAAGGAAAATAAACTACCTTACATTAAAATCCATAAGCACCTTACATTAAAATACCTGTGTTTCATAACAGCATTTTGAAGCTTGCAGTGTGCTGTAGTGTTACCATATTCCCAGTTTTTATTGCCTTTTTTTTTTTTTTTTAATTTAGGCTAAAGACAAAAAGTACCATAGCTTCATATCAATCAGTCATTGGAGTGGAAGGTCTGAAATCCTACAGAGGGACTGATCCACTTTCTTTAGTAAACAAGCTAAAACATGTCCCTGGCTCTGAAATATCTGCCCCATTTGGAATCACAAATACCTGTGAACTTCACTGTGTTCTCAGATTAGTGTGGATCTGGAAGCTGGCTGTTTAAAGCTCTGCAAAACATCTGCCCACCATTTCTGCTTGTGCAAGGGATATGCATAAATAACCCAGTACTGTCAAATGGAGTAAGTGAATGTGAGACCAAAGAACAAATTTACAAGTTTAATTATAAAAAATCCCCTGCCCCTGCATAGTCCGATGAGGATTAAATACTCTCCAGTTTAGTGCAGCATTTTTGAAAGCTGTATATGTCAAAGTAGTAGACAGTGTTTGGTGCCTAGAGACCTACATTTGCAAACCTTAATGACTGCCTTAGCTCTTATAATTTACAGTTCTGAGATCCAGTAAAGTTCCACTCCTGTACTTCTCAGATGTTAGTGAACCCTTAGCTGTCTACAGGGTAGCCTAAGCACAATGGCTTTAATCTTAACATGTACTTTACTGATCAGCAAAGAGGTTCCAGGAATATGGTAAGAAATAAAGTATTTTTACTGTCATGCCTGCAAATCCCATGACTGGCAGAGAAGTAAGACAAACTCTGCAGTGTGCCTAATTTACTAAGGCTATTTAAGCTTCAAAGGATGACAGAAGGTGGTCTAATATTCTTAGGTTTTATACCTTTGCCTGCATGTTGTTCAGTATATTTAATCCAAATTACCATTTGGATCATTCAAACTACAATCTTGTGTTGAAGGACTAACATGGAAGTCAACAAAGAGATAAAACCAATCTTGTGGTTCGGAAGGAGATGTTAATCCCTGGGTTCTGTGGCCCAGAGAGGTTATGCTCCCTAAAGTGGAGCAAGTTACTGTCTCACCTCCCTTTGTTTGCTGTTCATAGCAGAGCAGGAGTTTGGTTTTCACACTGCTAAAAGATGAGCAGTGTGAGTTGCTGCCCTCAGTCATACTGAGATTTAACTAAAAGAACTAGAGCAGAGAGAGATCCACTCTATCTAGTGCAGGTATGGTGTTCTGCTTGGCAAAAATAATGTAACAGAAGGCTGGGACACAGTAACCTGTTTCCTCTTCTGTTAATGGATTTCATAAACTATGCAAGAGTTGAAAGCAACACTTGATTCATCATCTCCTGCCAGCCAGCTATTGGACTCCCAGACAATATAATATATGAGCCCATGCATTCTATTCTCAGGATTTATTTTTAATTTATATGTAATAGTATTCTTTACAAGTTAATTCTTCAAAATTTTATAGTGAATTAGCATTTGTTTTAAGAAAAAAAAAAAGGTAGTCAAAATAATGCAAAATATAGATACCCAAATGCAAAATATTTATCCTTGTAGTGATAAGGAACATCTGTGTAAAGCGACATCTTCCATCTTTCAAACACCATGATATTGTGAAGCAATATCATGCAGGACCACTACCTACATTGATTTTTTAGTGTTCAAAGGCAACCAGACCCAAAGGCAGAAAGGGAAACAACATATTCTGACTGAGGTGCACCTGGGAAGCTTCAGAGC